CAGTGCAGGTCTCAGCTGTGGGCAGTGCAGGTCCCCGGCTGTGGGCAGTGCAGGTCTCAGCTGTGGGCAGTGCAGGTCTCGGCTGTGGGCAGTGCAGGTCCCCAGCTGTGGGCAGTGCAGGTCCCCGGCTGTGGGCAGTGCAGGTCTCAGCTGTGGGCAGTGCAGGTCTCCTCGGCTGTTGGGCAGTGCAGGTCCCCACTGGGCGGGTCAGTGCAGGTGCCCGGCTGGTGCAGCTTCCAGGGGTCCCAGGCCCCTTCCCCTCACCAGGGCAGCACCGAGTCCCTGTGAGAGTGGCTGTGGGCTGCAGACTGGCCTAGTGGGTCCCGTGCTGGAGCTGAGAGGGGAGTGAGGGGGCGATGCCTGTGTAGCGTGCAGGCAAACATGAACTGCGGCTGGAACCAGGCCCTGGACCCAACATGCTCCACTTCCGGTCTGTGCTGGGTGGCCTCAGCTAAGTCATTTAACCCCTCGGAGGCTGGGTGTCTGAGACTGGAGCAGGGCGATGCTCCCACGGCCGGTCAGCAGGGGAGCAGTGAGGGTTCTGTGCACTGGGGGGGGGGGCCAGGGGACGCCACGCGGCAGCCCCCACCCTGCCTGCTGCCTAACTACAACCATGATCGGTACAAGCTGAACCTGACCTACAGCCTTCCTTCAAGAGGCTCACAGAAAGTGAGACTAAAAGATACGTTTGTTCGGGTACAAAGACAATGTTAAATGCACGCGTTCTTTTTTCATAATATTCATTTTCCATGAACTGTTAGGAGAGGGCTCGCGTGTAGTGTTGACAATGAAAGTAACAAATGGCTTCCATCTCCAGCAAGGAAAGCCCTTGGACATCTGCTCCCTGCTGCACTGCCCGCCTCGCCCACGCTGTGTGTGTGTGTGTGTGTGTGTGTGTGTGTGTGTGTGTGTGTGAGATGACAGAGCCTGGGGGCTCACCGGAGCGAGGCCCCCTCCCAACGCTGCCCTATAATACTAAGCAGGCTGTGGGAGGGGGGGACCAGGAGGGACAGGCCCGGCTCATCGGGCCCCTGCCACCTGCCCAGGAATGCCCATGGCCCCTGCCCCTCCCAGATCCTGCCCCCAGCTCCCTGGACGCTGGGGCTGAGCTAAGCATTTTACGCTCGTCCTCACGACTGGACTCTAACGGCGGGTAGAGGGCATCGGTCTTCCCCACTTACAGATGGACGCCGGAGGCTCGGGAAAGCGAATCAGCCTTCCCAGTAACTGGCAGAGCCGCGGGGCAGGATTTGGCACAACAGCCAAGACACTGCTGGGACAGCCGCCTCGCACGTCAGCGTGCCTGGGTTCAAGTCTTGGCTCTGCTCCCGATTCCAGCTTCCTGCTAACGCTCACCCTGGGAGGCCACGGGCTGTGTCTCAAGTAGTCGACTCCCTGATACCCCTGAGAGAGACCGGACTGAGTTCCCGGCTACTGGCTCTTGCAGGCATTTGGAAAATGAACCAGTGAGTGAGATCTCTCTCTCTCTCTCCCTCTCTTTCTCTCTCTCTCTCTCTCTCTGTGTCTCTCCTCTCTCTGTGTAACTCTGACTTTCAAATAAATAAATCTTTTAAAAAATGTATGAATTTATTTGAAAAGCAGAGTGACAGAGAGAGAGAGAGAGAGAGAGAGAAAGAGAGGGAGAGAGAGAGGTCTTCCATCTGCTGGTTCACTCCCCACTTGGCCGCAACGGCCGCAGCTGCACGGATCTGAAGCCAGGAGCCAGGAGCCAGGAGCGTCTTCCAGGTCTCCCACGCGGGTGCAGAGGCCCAAGGACTTGGGCCATCTTCCACTGCTTCCTAGCCATAGCAGAGATCTGGATCAGAAGAGGAGCAGCCGGGTCTCATACCAGCACCCATATGGGATGGCGGCACTTCAGGCCAGGGCTTTAACCCACTGCGCCACAGCGCCGGCCCCTAATTTTTAAAAATATTTATTTATGTCTTTGAAAGGTAGAGTAACAGAGACAGAGAGAGGTGAGGAGAGATAAATCTTCCATCCACTGGTTCACTCCCCAAATGGCTGCATAAGCCAGGGCTGGACTAGGCTGAAGCCGGGAGCCAGGAGCTTTTTCCAGGTTCCCTACGTGGGTGCAGGGGCCCAAGCACTTGGGCCATCCTCTGCTGCTTTCCCAGGTGCACTAGCAGGGAGCAGGATCGGAAGTGGAGCGGCTGGGTCTTGAACCAGCACCCGTATGGGATGCTGATGCTGCAGACCACGACTGTACCTGCCGAACCACAGTGCTGGCCTCCACACGGGTTGTGAGAAGGCAGCTGGTCGAGCGTGGCAACAGTGGACCAGACTAGACAGGCAGCTGGTGCACACAGGGGAAGGATATTTGGAGGCTTTGGTTCTGTGGGGGGAGGGGAGGGAGCCCCGTGGGGCTGGGGCTGCAGAGTGGGGGAGAGGGAGGGAGCCCACACACCCCTCCCTTGCCCACCAGCTCGGCAGCGGAGCAACTGCCCCTGGAGTTTCCAGCGCCCAGCAGCCCCTGCAATGCTCGCCGGGAGCACGCACGCCGGCGTGGGTGGGGGTGGCAGCAGGGCCCGTGAGAGTCACAGCCCGGTGGGGTTTTCCAGCCTCGCCACGCTGGCACGCTCCTCGGCCCTTCCTCTAAAGACCGGCGTCAGCAGCTCTGAATGGAGCCTTGGCCTCCAAACCCCATCAGACCTGCATCGTCATCGAGCAATAAAATCCCAGGGAGGGCAGCCTGCCCTCGAACCTTCGCAAGGAAACAGGCTGAGAGAGGCAGCTGGGGCCAGGCTGCAGCTCTGGAGTCAGGCTCTGAGCGCCTAAGGCCGCCCAACCCTGGCCGTGACCTAGCGTCCCCAGGCCTCAGTTTTCTCCTCCATCCAATGGGTATGGTGACCCCCTGTCATTCTCAAATGCAGCCGTCACAAGGATGAACTACAGTCACAGAGGTCAAGTGCTGGCATACAGTCGGTGCTCAACAATGCTCACTACCGTGACAGACCCAGCTGGGACCCAGCCTGTCCAGGATCGAGGTCTGGTTCCACCGCCTCCTGGCCGTGTGAGCTCATTGTAGACACCTTTGTGTGTCTACATATGAAAAACAACAAGGGCGCCTCCTGGGGACAGGAGGAAGCTTCCGGGCCGTAGGACAGTCGCTCTTCCTGGCCTTGGAGGCCGGGCTTGGCAGGGAGACCTGTGCTGTGCCCCAGGCAAGCCGCGGGTGATACCACTTAAGTCTCAATTCCCCTAGCGGGAAGAGAGCTGGACGCCCGTTCTGCAGAAGTCGGGTTTACGTGGATCAACCAAGGTCGTGGCTACGCAGTGGCAGCCCTGGGGTCCTCGCTGCCATCCCCAGGGCTGCCGAGGCTGGAGGTGCAGGGTGAGGAGAGCAGGAAGCCCTTGAAGGAGAGCCTGGGCCGCAGGGTTCAAGTTCAACCTGAAGCAGAGACAGGGACGGAGATGGGGAGGAGATCAGGGGATGGAGGTGGAGAGAAAGCCGCCACAAGAGACTGGGGGCCTAGAGAGCGGAGGGGCAGAGGTTAAACAGGGGCCCTGTGTTGCGGGAAGAAGCGGGGGCGGCACCCTCTCTGCCGGTGTCCTCTCCCACGCCGGCGGCTTCTGCCCTCCCTGGCAGTGCCTCACCCGCGGCCCCCATGGCAGGTCCTGCCTCTCGGCCCAGCCCCTGGGGCAGCGCGGTGTGGGGGGCCGGGTGCTCCCTCCCCACCTCGGGCCGGGAGGCCTGCCCAGGACGCGAGATCAAAGATGTCCCCATCAGAGGCTCAGGGGCCCGGGGTCAGCACAGCGTCTCGTGGCCCGGGCGTGCTGCGGGGAAACCGGTTTAAGGCCTGGTAGCTCCGGAACCTCCCAGGGCAGTGAGTGACCTCACCGCTCACAGCCTGTCTTCCCACCTGCGGAATGGGCACAGCGGTGACAGTGTAGGGTTTGCTCTGCAGGCCTGTGGTTTGGGAGTGAAGGTTAAAGGTGCATCTAAGCTCTTAACAAATGATGATAAAAACCAAAAAGCTTTGCCCTGAGTTCAGAGGTGACCAGCCTGGGTCCCTCTCTACCCGTCTCTGTGAGGCCGGCATCACCTGCCCGCCTCGCGGGGGCAGCGGGAAAGCCTCCACAATCGCCGGACTTCAGAGAGTGGTGTAGTGGGGGCAACCCCCTCTGGGAAAGACACCCAGCTCTCTGGGCACCCCAGAACAGCTTCCCCACCCCCAACACCTCCCTCTGCTTGGCTGATCATGCCTCAGGCCCTGGCAGGGCGAGCAGCGCCCCCTGCTGGTCAGGTAAGGATGTGCCCAGTGCTGCTCCGCGGGGCTGCCTAGATCCCACCTGCTGGGCGGTTGGGCCATGGCAGACACAAGGTAGCACGGTCATTATTAACTGACTAAGTGCTTTCTATGCCTTGTCTTTTCACCCTGATAATAACCTAAAGGGCTAACACTGTTATAATACCTGTTCTGCATATGAGGAAACAGAGAGGCTGAGTAGCTTACCCAAGGCCACACAGAAAGGGGCAAAGCCTGTCCTGCTGCTTCGATCTGGCCATCCCGAGTCCTGCCACCTCCCGGGCAAGAGGGATGTTTCTCAGAGAACGGGATGCAGGGTGAGCAGGGGGCGGGGGAGCCACGCCAGCTGGGACTGGTCCTAACTCCAGGTTGGGAGGCCGCGTCCGGAGCGCGAGAGGGCTGGGCTGCACACCATGCAGCCACCGCGGCCACCTCCATCGATCCAGGCCTCTCATCGCCCACGGACTCGCCTCTCACAGGCTGACCACAGCTCCGCACCCAGGGTCCTCGGGCCCGCTGGGGCTCAGTGGTCCATAGCTGCCCGGGTTAATGAGCCAAGTTGCTCACGATTTGTGTGTGTGTGTGTGTGTGTGCGCCCACCTGTACTTTCTAGGGAAAATGTCCCCGCTGTTCCCAGAGCCTAATCTCCAAAGACTGAAACCCGTGGACTATTCTTCGCGTGTAGAACTTCCCGAACCCCCACCTAAATGCTTAGGGGAGCGAGGACAGCTGAGTCGTCTCGTGTGAAATGCTTCCCTCTGCTTGTGTTTGAGGTACCCTCCGCCTGCCTGGAGCTGCACCTGCTTCCACTGCCCAGGAACCCGCCTCCACACCCCCCACTGCTGCCAATCAACTCTGCCCAGCCTCAGCACTTCCATGTCCTCCTCCAACCCGTGCTGGCCAGGGCCGAAGGCTCGTCTGTGAGGTAGGTGCAGTAACCAGTGTGGCCAGCAGGGGTCGCACTCCCTGAGGCATGGACCAGTAGAAGGAGTCTGCGCATGGCGGTGATCAGTGTGTGTTCTGGGTCTGGCCTTTCCCCTCTGCGGGCCTCAGTTTCCCCCCTCTGTAAAATGGCCTGGGCTGGTTACTGGCCACTTTCCCACACGGACATCCCGTGGATGCTGGGAGGAGGAAGCTGTCTTCGACTCCCATGGTCCAGCATCCTCCGAGAATGGGACACGATGACCCTGGGGCCCTTCCCCCAATGCAGCTGAGAAAGGAGGGCCACTGCCCCCTTGTTTAAGGAGGAGCTGAAGCCACGGAGAAAGGGGGGCTCCAAGTCGGGTGCCCCAAGAGCTGCCTGGGGGCTGGGGGAAGGGGGGCCCCCACTGGAGGCTTCCCTGGATGGGAGGGCCCAGAGCCTGGGAACTGGAGGGCCCAGTGACAGGCCAAGGCCTGGGGATGGGGCAGGGGAGCCTTGCAGAGACCTGGGGGAGGGTTCCAAGGAGCTCCCCCCACCAACAGCACCCAGTCCTCCAGCCCCACCCTCTCTCCGCTCCCCACCCCTCCCACCCCAGTGACTGAAGAAGGAGACACAGCCATGACGATGATGTAGAACTTTCTCTACAAAAGTTATAATGAGCCTGAGGGAGGGGCGTGCATGGGGGGGGGCCCTGCCCCAGCACGGGCAGAACTGGCAGCACCTGGGGCCCTGAGAGAGAGGAGTCGGCACTTGGGGGTGGCCCCAGGCTAGGCCCTGGGGGAGGTGGCCGGGGTGAGGCTCTACCTCCTCCCTCAGGGGCACCGGAGGCTCTGGGCTGTGCTCCCAGCTGGGGCCGCTTCCCAGGCTGTGGCCAAGGCCGGGGGTGGGCCGCGGGCAGGAGGGAGGGCACGTGTGTGCACACACATGTGCGGGCTCCTGGGGGCACGCGGCTGGGGACATGCGCTCTGAGGACCCTCTGGGCTGGCCTCTCCCTGGTCCCATCACCATCACCACGCTGGGACCCATGGTGAGCTCTGGCTCACGACCCAGGCAGAATCAGGCCACAGCCTGGGCCCTGGAAGACCGTGAGGGAAACCCCCAATGAGCGCCTCCCCCCAGGGCACACTCACACTCACTGTCACACTCACACTCACACAGCCCCGGGGGCCTGGGGACAAGTAGGTGAGCCCCACTCTTCCCTGTCCACACAGCAGGACCTGCCCGCAGGGTCCCGCACCCGTCACGCCCAGCCTCTGCCTGTGGGGGGCCTGGGAGACCCTGGAGCAGTTGGCAGGTGCCCGCCAGGCCTGGGGCCTTAATACTGCAGCCTGGTGTTCTGGACCTGTGTCCAGCACCCTGGCCCTCGGGTGCCCAAGGGAGGACAGGACGGAGAGGGCGGGACCACCCTGACTCTGCCCCAGGTCACCCGCACCCCACCCCAGCTCCCCAGCTCCTGGCCCTGGCCTTGTGCGGGGTGGGGTGGGGACCGAGAGTCGAGTCGTTTGGCTGAAGAGTGCACTGGGACCCTCCCCTCTGGGCTAATGGGGAAGGGGAGGCGGCCCAGACTCTTCCTTTTACAAAATGCAGGAAGCAAGCGAGGGGCTGGGGGAGAGGTGGGAGAGACAATGGTGCCTGGGACTCCCAGCCAGCTCTGATGTCATCCAGTCCTGCCCGCCCTCTGGGGCTGGCCTTCCGCTCACGTGGTGGTGGTGGGGCAGCTCAGGGGTCTGGGATGGCTGGGAGTGGACAGGCCTCTCCTATGTGGTCCTTGCTCCAAGGGAAGGGGGCGCGGGGCTGGCGGCTGTGGGGGCCTCGTGGCCCCACTGTGGCTTGTGGCAACTTGCAATTCATTTTGGTGCGGGGAGCAGGGGAGGGGTCCCAGGATCACCTGTGGAGGAAGAGACAGAAACACAATGTTAGGGAGGCCTTCAGGGACCACGTGTTCAACCAGGACCCACCGTGCTGACACAGCCCCCCTCTCCGGGCACGTGATGATGCTGGCCTGAGGGTGACCCCCAGCCCCCAAACTCCAGACCAGACCATCTGCCCACACCCATCATTGTCCCAGCCACTCGGGGCGAAAGCCATGGGCACCCAAACAGGAGCAGTGGGTGTGTGGGGTGCCTGGGGTCAGGGGCCAGCCAACATCTCCCCGGGAATGGCAGCAGCCTTGGCTGATTGCGACGGCTTCTCATTCTTTTTTCAAGAGGCGGAAGGACAGAGCAAGAGAGGCAGACAGACAAGGTGCTCATTCCCCAAACACCTGCAACGGGCCAGGGCCAGGGCTGGCACCAGGAGCCGGAAACCCCATCCAGGTCCCCCACATGAATGACAAGAACTCAGCTACTTGGGCCTCCCAGGGTCTACATTAGCAGGAAGCCGGAGACGGGGAGCACTCGGGAATCGGACCCGGGAGTTCCCACGTGGGATGCAGGCATCTGGAACCCGCCAACTCTGCCTCCAAGGCTGCTGTTGGCCTCACTGGGGGTATGTCCTGGTGTTCCCAGTTGCAGAGTTTAAGGGCAACAAGAAAAGCAGGTGCCCCAAGAGGAGGCCTGCTGGCTGCCACACCCGCGTCCTACAGGAGTCACCCTGTCCCCAGGTGCTCGAGCCACACAGAGCAGGAATCAAGCCCAGCTCTGCGCTGAGCAGCGGTGGCACTGGCGCGAGCTCTCCTAACCCTCCGAGCCCCACATGCTCATCCGTGGTGAAATGGGGGTGACGGAGGGCACCCCACGCATAGGTACAGGAAGATCACACCAGAGAGGACGGGGTCAAGGGCACAGCCCAGGCCCCGGCAGGTGGGAGGCCACACAAACACCCTCGCTGGCATCTGCAGAAGTGATATGCATTTCACCCTGGCTGTGATGACAGCCCTGAGTCACCATCCAGTGCAACTGAGTTGCTGGGGCCTCTTGGCATCGTGAGTGGCCTGGATTTTATAAAGAGTGTGGGGTTACGCCCGTTCCCACTCCTGAGAGCGCAGATCCCCCCTCCCCACACCCCACGCCCAGGCTGAGCACTCACAGCTCCGTGTCCTCCAGGGCGGGCGGGCGCTCCAGCGCCTGCCTCCGCCTCCGCACGGCCCCCAGGATCTTCTTGCGGGGCCCCAGGGGCACGCTGATGCTGCGGAGGTCCAGGTCGGAGCACAGCATCAGCGCCTCCAAGTCGATCTTCTCCTGCCGCAAGAGGGCAGCAAAGTCCTGCAGGTGCAGCGCGGCCAGGAAGGTGTCCAGTGGGCTCGTCTCGGGCTCCAGGTCCTCGTCCAGCCCCAAGTCCAGCTCGTCCCAGGGCAGCTCCTCCCCGCAGCTGCGGTCCTGCAGGCTGTTGGCACTGCCCAGGCTGTCCTCGTCCAGGCTCGGGGAGCTCTGCAGCCGGCCCCGCAGCGTGCCGGCCCCGTCCAGCCCCGAGTCCTCGCGGCCCAGCCCGTGCAGCCCGCTGCTCAGGTAGTCCCTGCGGAAGACCATGGTGCCCAGGCCGGGGCGGGTGAAGAGGGAGTCGTGGCCGGAGTCAGTGCTGACCTCCGAGTGGGCAGGCTCGGGCGCCAGCGTGGCACGGGAGACGCTGTCCTCGTCGGAGAGGAACATGTCCCGGAGCGGGGCGCGGCCCCACTCCTTGGGGTTGGCATAGGTGCCCGGGCGCACGAACATCACGTCGCTGCCCAGCTGCAGGCCGGACAGCGAGCGCACGCTCTTGCGGCCGTCCTCGGAGACCTTGAACGTGCCCTCGCCGCCCTGCTTGCGCCGCTCCAGCTTCTTCTGGATCTTGGTCTTGCCCCTGGCCGTGCCGTGCAGCGTGGCCTGCGAGTAGGGCAGGGGGCTGCCCAGCGCCAGGTGCTGCAGCCGGCGGCTCAGGGTGCTGGACGTGAGGCTGGAGAAGCTGAGTGCGTCCGAGCGCTCCGCCAGCTCGCGCCGGTAGCGCCGCTCCATGCGCTCGTGGTGTTTGCGCTGCATCTTGGCGCACTCGCGGATGCGTCGCTCGGCCTCGCGGAAGGCCTTGTCCTTCAGCTTGCCCACCAGCTTGGGGCTGAGGCTGCTCTGCTTGGCCGCGATGGAGTCCAGGTAGCGCACGCACTCCATGTGGCCCTTCATGGCGGCCATGTCCAGCGGCGTGTGGTAGTCGTTGTCCAGGCACCAGATGTTGGCCCCGAAAGACACCAGGAAGGACAGGCAGTGCAGGTGCCCGTTGGAAGCTGCCAGGTGCAGGGGCGTGTTGCCCCAGATGTCACACTTGTCTGGGTCCCCCCTGCAGGGAGAACAGGCCTTGGGGAGTCGGGGTGGGGGTGGGGGCAGGACAGGGAGGGCGTGGGGGGCAGGGCAGGGGGGCTCCCCGCCCGCACAGCTACCCCGTGGGCACACCAAGCCTGGAAGGGCCCCACGGGCCTGCGAGCTCCACTTAGCACCAGGAACTCTGCAGGCCCAAATGCACCAGGAGGGAGAGCCCCGGAGCACGCCGGGGGCGGGGCAACAGGGAGGGCGGGGCTAGGGCGGGGCCTTCCCCAAGATAACTGAGGGCTGGGAATCTCAGGGGATAAATATTTGATGCTCAGAGAGAAAGGAGTGAATTATTCATGGGGCCGGGCGGGGAGCTGGCCCAGAGGGGCGGTGGGCCAGGGCGAGTCTGGGTCCCTAGGCAGGTGTGGTGGTGAGTGTAACTACGGTGGCGGGGTGACCGTGAGAGAGGGTGGCAGTGCGTGCTGGACCAGAGCCCTGGGGGAGTGTGTGTTTGAGGGCAGGAGCTTGTGTGTCTCCGGCTTGGCCATGGCTGAAGGGAGCGGGGCCAGGCCTGGCAAGGCTGAGTGTGAGAGCAGGTGTCGGGGCTTGGCCTGGGCCAGGAGGGGACTGTGGGGGCAGCCAGGACAGGAGCGGGGGAAGAGGGCGGCGGCTGGAGGCCTGGCTGCCCTCCCTTTCCCAGGCTGCAGGACACTGGCTGACCAGGGGCCCCAACAGCCCCCTCCCCACCAGACCGTGCCCTCCCCCCATGCCCAGGGCAGTTCCCACCGGCTCCTCCAGAGCTCTGGCCTCCCTCAGGGCTGGCACAGCACCACTGCTCCATGCTAATGAGGCCATGAGGCCACCCCAGGCTGGGGGAAGAATCACTCCCTTGTCTCCTGGTCTCCGCGGCTCCACACACACCCCCTGCTCAGCTTCCCCCGGTGGTCATCAGGCTGGGCAGGGGCTCTCCGCACCCAGCCCCCACCTCATCGAGCACATCCTTGGCCCCTGTAGGAGCTGAAGGCTTGGCTGCACCCAGGGGCACCCTCTTCCCCTCCTGCCATGAGTCTCAGCAGGAGGGGGTAGGGAGACAGCACACCCTGTGCCCTCCCAGGTGGGGAGGGGCCGGCCACCGTTGGCCTGGAGGACCAAGCTCAGCTGCCTCATCTTAGCAGTTGCTTCCCCAAGGAGCAGCCCAGAGAGAGGCCAAGGTGGCGGCGGGGGTGGGGGGTCTCCCCCACTTGCCACCTGTTGAGGCCCCAGGCCGACGCCTGGCGCCAGGACCTGCCAAGTCCTCTGATTGCCTGGGCAGCCCTCCCAGCCACACTCCTGTCAAGGCACCCTGGTGTCCAGGCCAAGCCTCTATGGGGCTGGAGGCCCGGGGTGGGGGGTGGGGAGCTGCAGACTGCCAGGAGCCCACTCAAGCGGCCCTGGGATCTGCATTGCCCAGCTGTTACCTCCAATCTCTCCCTGACCCCTGGACTCCATCCGTGCCCACCCCTTCCCCCAGGACAGCTCCAAAGAGTGGGGAAGAAGTCCCTCCAGGCTGAGCCCAGCCAGCCGCCCCACTGCAGGGGGCAGGGTGCCGAGGGAGTTCATGGGATGGCTGAACCAGTGACATTTGGCCCTGCGGCCAGTGCCCATAAATCCCAGGAATGAGTAGGGAGAGGGGACAGCTGTGTGAGACCCAGCCTGCAGGGGGGTGTGGGAGCTGCTGGGACAGCTCTGTGGGTCTGTGGGCAGCCAAGACCCCTGCCCTCCTGGCCCCCATCTGTGGGGTCTCTGAGAGGTCTCAGCCTTCTCTTCGGCTCTCCCTACACCCCTGACTCTCACTTCTAGGTGGCCCCCACCCAGGAGATGACTCTCCCTGCCCCTCACCCTGCGGCACCCCCCAACATGGGACCCCAAGTCCCAGACCCGCCCCCCGGCGCCACACCTGTTCACAAGCCTCAGGTGCCGCACCTGTGTCTCCCTCCACATGCCCCCCCCCCATGCCAGGCTCTAAGGTCCGACCCCAGGGTCTGCTCCTGGGGAAGGGGGCAGCTCAGAGGGGGAGGGGCCGGTGTCCGGGCTTCGGACTCACCCACGGCTCACGATGAGACGCAGCGACTCCAGGTTGCCGTGGTAGGCAGCCCAGAGGGTGGGGGTCATGCCGTCCTCGTCGGGGGCATTCAGCTCCTTCCGGGTGGCCTCCTTGAGGAGTTCCAGGTAGCCGTCCCGGGCCGCCCGGTGGTACTGGTCGTTCATGGCGCCCGACGTGGACAGGGCGGGCAGGGGGCCCGAGGCACGGGGAAATGCCCTCCGCAGGGGAGGGCAGCGGGGTTAGGGCTGAGGCATGGGGTTGGGGGAGGGGGCCGGGCCGGGGCCGGGGCGCCAGCCCCCGCTGCCGCAGGTGGAGGGTGCGGAGCGCCAGCGCCTGAGCTACGGGGACATCTGAGCCGCTCACCCCGCGGGGGGAGGGGGCATCTCCCGCTGCCCAGGGAGCCGCCCCGGGCTTCCCCTGGGTCCTAAACACCCTGCTTCCCCGCACACAGTCGTATCCCACGCGAGGCCCTGGCCGCTCCCCAAAGTGCCCACCCCGGGGGACATCCCTCGAAAAGACCCAACTTGGAGACAGTTCGGGTCCGCCCTCACGACAGCCCCCACGCTGCGGCTCTCGGTTTCTCCGGCAAAGGAACGGGCCCGGGGCTGGGGAGGGCTCTGAGGGCGGAGCGGAGGGGCAGTCTCCCGGGGGACGCCCGCAGGTGCGGGGAGACCGACGGCAAGACGGGCCGCGCGGCCGGCCAGCAGGGGGCGCAGGCGGGCCGGCGGCGGGCTCCGCGCGCCGCGTGGGAACTTGGTGCCCAGCTGGACTTCGCGGCACCGGGTGGAGCCGGGCGTGGGGTGCGGGAGGGGCAGAGCGAGCCCGAACTTCGGGGGCCGCGAGCGCGGCCGAGGAAAGCTGGGGTTCCGACCACCGGGCTGCACCCGAGGAGCGCAGAGGAGCAGGCGCGCGGGGCTGGAGGGCAGCGGGGCGTCTCCAGCGCCGCTCGCGGGGCTCTGGGCGCGGTGGGCGCCGGGGACAGGGTGTCTTCTGGGTGCCGCAGTGCAGGGCCGCGCCCAGGTGGCGGGGCGGGGTTGGGGGGGGGTTAGCTCTTAGCGCCTTATCTGGCTCCCGCGCGCTCTTCCCTAAATTCAGCTCGGAGGAAAGATGGATCATGTGAGTGGAGCTGAGAGGTTTATGGAGCCGAGCTCCCGGGGCTGTAAATCACCCTACCCTCCCGGGTATAAAGCGCCCGTCCAGCCCGGCGTGGGACAGAGCCCTGACCCCCAGCTCAGCGCCGGCTCTCGGCGCAGCCAGGTGGGTGCCAGGGCAGGAGGCGGGGGTCGTCGGACTCGGGCAGCGGGCGGCGAAGGCTCCTCCTTGCTCTCCTGCCCCGCGAGTGCTCCAGCACCCGCGGTCCCCTCATCTGGGGATACGCTGCGGGAGGGAGAGCCGTCGAGGCTGACCTGGGGCCCCGGTCTCTCCTCGCCTCGCCCGCAGTGAGCCCTCCGAGCCTCCTCGGGTCGCCCCGCCATGTCGGAGGAGCTGGCCTCGGGCCCCAAGGAGCGCCCGCCGGCGCTGCGCGCGGGCCCCCGCGAGGTGTGGAAGAAGGGCGGCCGCCTGCTCTCGGTGCTGCTGGCCGTGAACGTGCTGCTGCTGGCCTGCACGCTGGTCAGCGGCGGCGCCTTCAACAAGGTGGCCGTGTACGACACCGACGTCTTCGCCCTGCTCACCACCATGATGCTGCTGGCCTCGCTCTGGATCCTCTTCTACGTCCTGCGCACCGCGCGCTGTCCCGGCGCCGTCCCCTACCTAGACGCGCACGCCGGCCCCATCTGGCTCCGAGGTGCCCGCGGCGGTGCGGCAGACGCGGGGGCTGGGGCCCTGGGCGGGAGGGCAGAGGTGGTGGGTTCCCCAGTTCCCGTGGGGGGATGGATGGAGAAGAGCGAGGTGAAGGGGCCTGGAGGAGCGGTGGACCGAGCGGATTGGTGGTGGTGACGGGGGGGGGGGGGGGGGGGGGCCTCTGTGCCCTGTCCAGACACTGGAGAAGGGGTCAGCGCGGAGAGCTGGAGGGAGATCAGGGAACCGATGAGAATGGCGCCGAAGTGCCCGTCCAGGGCCCTCCCCCTTCTCTATGGCTCCCCAAAGAGAGGGGGCTTGGTGGGACCCAGTCCTACGCTCAGCCTCCCAGCCACCCAGCCAATCGCATTCAGCCTTCCATCCCCCTATCCATCGCTCAATCCCTCCATCTGCCCATCCCCCACCCAGTCCTCCCCTCGTCTGCCATCCACCTGCCCATCCTCCACTCCATCCATCCCTCAGCCGGCCGGCCAGCCACCGTGCGATCCACCTGCGTCCCCACCCGTCCTCAGCTCTACCCGCCCTCTCTCCTGTCTCTCTGACCCCCTGATCCGCAGGTGGGCTGGTGCTGTTTGGGACCTGCACGCTCGTCATGGACGTCTTCAAGACCGGCTACTACTCCAGTTTCTTCGAGTGCCAGTCGGCCATCAAGATCCTGCACCCACTCATCCAGGCTGTGTTTGTCATTCTCCAGGTGGGTGGGAGGGCGTCCCTGCGTGCAGGGTGACCGAGCCAGCACTGGCGAAGTGCCAGGAGACCTGAGCCCCACTCCCCCTTCCACCCTGAGCCCCACTCTCCCTTCCACCCTGAGCAGTTAACTAAGCCGGGGAGTGGGACTGTGGTGGGGACCACCCAAGTCTGTAGAAGTGGAAGCAATATCCAAGTGTGGGCTTCTCCTCTGGGCCCCGCAACTTCCCTTCAACCTAAGCCCCGCCAGTAGCTACCACCTGGGAGGTGTGAGTCGCAACAGCCGGCCTCGTCTCCTGGAACCTGGCCTGCCCTCCTCGGATGCCCCCTGAGGACATCTGTCTCAGCCCAGCGTCCCGCTGCGGGCGTGCTGCCTTGGCTTCAGCCATGGCTCCCATGTTCTGCATGGCTTGTTTTTCTTCTTATTATTTTTAAAATATTATTGTTTATAAATGTGAAAGGGAGGCAGAGATCTTCCATCCACTGGTTCAGTCCCCAAATGCCTGCAACAGCCAGGGCTCAGCCAAGCCAAAGCCAGGAGCCCAGAACGCCATCTGGGTCTCCCACGCAGGTGGTAAGGGGCCAACCACTAGAGCCATGACCTGCTCCCTCCCAGAGTGTGCAGGAATCAGAAGGAGAAGCAGGATGCGACCCCAGGCGCTCCTGTAGAGGATGCAGGCGTCTCTCGCCTCTCGTGTTCTGTATCTTGACCGGAAGGAAGGAGTGAGTGCTGGCACTGTGCTCTTTCACGTGGGTTCAGGCCGGTTTTCCTTGGCTGCCTCAATGGCACTTTGCAAGCTCTTCTGACTGAGCTGAGGCAGGACTGGTCTTGCCTGGGACCAGAACGGACCCCAGCCCTGGATCACGACCAGAGTGACCGCATGATGGGCACCCCCCGCCCCACCCCGCTGCCTGGGGCTTCCATGGCTGCACACAGGTGTGGCCTCGGGCGTGTAGGTAGTTTCAGACTTTCACATTTTACGGGTTTGAAGCTACGAGCATGCAAACACCTCACAGCAGGGATTCTGGGCAGCCCAACGGGGGCCACGCCTGGCCGGGCAGCAAGGCAGCAGGGCCCGGGATGCCGACTCTTTCTGCTCCGAACAAGCCCCGGCCTGAAGCTGGCCTTGCTCCCAGGAACAAATAAGCAGGCAGTCAAGAATCTTCTGGGCTTCGTTCCGCTCACCCTCAAATCCCCCAAGACCGGGGAGATTCACAGGTGCAATTTTGCAAACCTTCAAAGAACAGAGAATCACTACTTTGTGCAACTATGCTGGAGACTGGATGGAGAGGACACCTCTGGTCTCCTTTTGCAAAACTAGAATAAACTTGGCGAGTGAGGGCACGCGCTCCTGGGGCGGAGAGAACTTGACCGGGGCATGGGCGCGGACGGGGACATCGCAGCTCAGCCGACATGGAGTAATGACCCTCACTCTCTCTCCCGATGCAGACGTACTTCCTCTGGGTCTCCGCCAAGGACTGTGTCCACGTCCACCTGGACCTGACCCGGTGAGAGCCACCGCTCAGTGTCTGCCCAGTGTGCCCCTGTCCACCCTGCTCGCTCTCCGGCCTGGGTGGGGTCCCAGCCACGGCCCCCTCACTTTGCCACACATGAGCGGGGCAGCCTGAGCCCTGGACACACTGTGGCCCTCTCCGGGGGGGCATCCAAACTCAGCTTCCCTGTTCACACAGGGAGGGGCCCGGCTGCTTTCTCCTTTCTCATCACCATCTCTCAGGAGAGAGCCGGGGGTCCCCACACAAGCCCAAGACTCACCGGCTCCGTGGGGCTCCCACCACAGGTTCGGACTCATGTTCACGCTCACCACCAACCTGGCCATCTGGATGGCAGCCGTGGTAGATGAATCCGTGCACCAAGCCCACTCCTATGGCAGCTCTCACGGCAACACCAGCTACACCCGCCTCGCCCCTGACTGTGAGTTCTCCCCCACCGGGCCCTGGGCTGGGTGCTGTGTGGCTCCATAGAGTCAGCCTCCCACACCAACCCAAGGACACGGGGGCGAAGGTGGCGCCTCCTCCAGCTGTGCCTCTGAAGTCTGGGTGTAGGTGACAAGGGACAGGGAGGGGTCCCAGCCATGGCCCCACTGTCCGGGTCTCCATCTTGCCATGCAGCGCCCTGCCTCCAGGGATGACCCAGCTGGAGAAAGGGCAGGGAGGCAGAGTGGGTCTCAGGTGGAAGCGTGGGGTCAGGCAGGAGGGTCTGGGAGGGACAGCACAGTGACAGTCGCAACTCCCTGAGCTCTGTGTCGCTGCTAGACCCCACAGCGCCCCCTGGGAAACGGGGACTGTTAGTGCATGCATTTTACACGCACAGAGAGCAGCTTGCCCCAGGTCACAGAGCCTGAGAGACCCAAGTGTGTTGTTCAGTTTTGTCTTTGCTTTTAACCAACACGCTACTGTAGAGAAGAATGGAGTCTGTGGCTTCCAGGTCCTACCTCTCTGGACTTTTCTGGAGCCTTCCACTAGCCAGGGCCAGACCAGATGACTGGGACACACACCCACACACCCTAACCCCCAGCGTGGCAGCAGCCAGGGACAGAAAGCATGGGACAGCTCGACCCCAAACGACTGCTCCGGGGCCACCTTGCAAATAGAGGATGCCTGGGCCAGGGGTAGCGGGGAGAGTATCAACTCCCAAGGGGAGCCCCCCGGGGAGACACCCGCCTTGGGGTGGGGAGTTAGGTGGTTTGCTCCAGTTCTGCCATCGCAAGTCACTTCTCCCATTGCACCCCCATTTCTACGTCTGAAAAGCCAGCTAGGACAGGCCTGGGGGTCCAGAGAGATACTGGTCCAGCCCAAAAGGCCTCCAAAGCACACTGGAGAGTCCAGTCAAGATCCCTTTCAATGGGGGCGCAAACCCAAGCGACAGAGGTCTCGGGGCAGCCTGGCCACAGCAGCTGGCTGTCCGGGCCAGGTCAGAAGTGGGGAGAGCTCTGAGGAAGTGCACACTGTAGGAGCTCCCAAGAGACCCCCTCCCTGCTCGGAGAACCAGGTCTCATCTGTCCCAGGGAGCGGGGTCGCTGTGGGCGGAGTGAGGGGGCATCTCGAGCTCAGAGGCTGTTTTAGTTGAGCGGTGGTGTGTCCTGTGGTCTGGCACATAGTAGGTGCTCACTGAACATTTGTGGGAGGAACGCCTGTGCCAGGCCCCGTGCAGGCGTTTGGGATACAGTGCCGAGTGTGGCAGAGAGAGACTGTGCCCTCACAAAGGTCACGGCCAGGGGCGAGGCCGCTCCTGCAGGGTGGCGGGCAGCCGGCCCCGTGTCCCTCTCTCTCTCCACAGTGGAGCGGGTGGGAGACACAGCCTGTTCCTGCAGCACGCCCGTCTGCCAGATCTTCCAGCAGGGGTATTTTTACCTATACCCCTTCAACATCGAGTACAGCCTCTTCGCGTCCACCATGCTCTACGTCATGTGGAAGAACGTCGGCAGGCTGTTGGCCGCCCCTCAAGGCCACGGCCATGGCCACGGCCCCTCCCGGGTCAGTCTCTTCCGGGAAACCTTCTTCGCCGGCCCGATCCTGGGCCTGCTGCTCTTTGTGGTGGGGCTGGCCGTCTTCATCATCTACGAGGTCCAGGTGAGCGGGGAGGGGGGCCGTACCCAGCAGGCCCTGGTCACCTACTACAGCTTCAACATCGTCTGCCTGGGGCTCATGACCCTGGTCAGCCTGAGCGGCTCGGTCATCTACCGTTTCGACCGGCGCGCCATGGACCACCACAAGAACCCCACCCGCACGCTGGACGTAGCCCTGCTGATGGGGGCTGCCCTGGGCCAGTATGCCATCTCCTACTACTCGATCGTGGCCGTGGTGGCGGGCACCCCCCGGGACCTGCTGGCGGGGCTCAACCTGGCCCACGCCCTGCTCATGGTCGCCCAGCACACCTTCCAGAACGTGTTCATCATCGAGAGCCTGCACCGGGGGCCGCCCGGGGCTGAGCCCCCCCACACACCCCCCAAGGAGCCCTGCCAAGGCCTCACCTTCGCCAACCTGGACGCCCTGCACGCTCTGCCTGGCTGCCCACCCACCCCCAGCCTGGCCAACCCCAGCCCAGCAGGCCCTCCAGAGGTCGTGGCCATGATCTTGGCCCCCAGGGGCCACTGGAGACGCCGGTGCCTCAGAGACATTTCTCTGTTTCTCCTGCTCTGCAATGTCATTGTGAGTAGCCCGTGGGGGGATGGGCGTGGGCTTGCTTGGCCGTCTCTGTCTTACCCACTGGGCTCTCCAAGGAGCAGGTTCAGAGAGGGCCAGCGGGCTCGCAGCATCCCAGGGCACACAGAGGGAATGAAATCCCAGTCTCCCAGCTTCTGTGCAGCCGGTGGAGCTGGAGGGGTCCCAGGGCATGCTGGCATGGGGGCTGGGAGGAGGTGAGAGGGAGCTGAGTGCTGCTGGGGGGGCCCTCACCCCGAGGTGGGAGGTGTGACTGCTCCTGGGAACTTGTGACCTGCCTCCTCAGAATAATTGGAGCAGCGTCAGGAAGTAGCAGGGAGCGGCCTAAGTGTGAGGATCTGTTGGCAGAGAGCAGTGGCCCACTGGGGCGGGGGGTGGGGGGGGAGAGGCTACAACAGCAGCCCCCTCCCCAGTGACTCCGCAAAGCCCACTGCTAGGAGCGAGGCAATTCGCCCAATCGGAATCGCACTCCGTAGGGAACACCCCCAAGGCAGAAAGCCCCCCAGCGGCGAAACATTCCTAGCGTGGCTGCAACCCAACGTGGAGGTGCCCCAGTGTAGAAGTGACCCCCAGCAGGGAAACACGTGCCCAGGTGGGGAGGCAGGTCCGCAGCCCAGGGTTCAGTCAACCTGGGAAGGAAAAGATCCGGACAGAAATCTGTGCGTCTCTACTGCACACAGACAGGCTCCGTAGCTTAGCATTACTCCCCAAACAGTCGGCACGGCTGTTGACATCGCGTGTCTGGCGTAGGCGGTGTCTGGCGGTGATTTGTCGTCTCCTACGCCATTGTGTAGAGGGACTCCAGCACCTGTGGATTCGGGTGCGTGCAGATGCCGAGGGGAGGCCGGGCACCCCGAGGAGAAAAACACTGAGAACAGCTCTTTCAGACATCACCTCCAGAGAAGACAGGCTGAGGGTCCCCCGACACAGAGAACAGCCCCAGGGTGCCCCCTCCCATAGACCTCCCTTCTCAATACACCAGTGGCCCCTGTGACCGACCGACAGGTCACCCCATACGAGTGCCGTGACCCCGGGCAGGAGCCTCCCAGCAAAGTCCATTTCTTTAATTAAAAAAACAAAAGGTGTGGCCACCAAGCTCTGGCTTTACCAGAAGCATTGAGGCTCAAAACCCCATCGCGGCTTGGGCCAGCTTTGGCGCCAGGCCCCACGCAGGCCAGCTGGCCGGAGGCTGCTCCTGCTCCAGGCACCTGAGCCCCACTCACCTCCAACAGGGCAGAAACAGGCTCCAGCCGGGGCTGTGTGTGCCCAGGGACACAGTGGCCTGGGGCCGGGGAAGGGGAGAGGCCAGCCTAGAAGCCTTGACTCACTGCCTCCTAACCCCACAGCTGAATCTTGTAAGCCCACGGTTGGAGATAAAGCAAGATTTCAGCTTCACCCTCCTGCCAGACGTGGGCAGGGGGCCTGCTGGTCCCACCGCCAGCACCCCTGGGCGCACAGCTCTTCAGCTGCCAATTGGCCGTTCACACCTCGTTTTTCCACCATCTATAGAAACTTCCATCCCACAAGTGGGTCAGTTGGGAGGGCCGGTGGGAGAGGCGACCACAGGGGGGCATCCCTGGCGAGCAGTGGTCAAGTTCAGATGAGGACACAGTGCAGGAACCTGTTCAAGACGCCGGAGGTCCCCACGTGGTGACTCCCAGCCCTGGCTGCCCACAGAACCACGAGGCTGGGATTCCCACCTGCAAGGCCTGCGGAAGGACCCCCGGGGCCATCCCCGGCCGGGTCTGACACCGTCCCCCTCCTTCTCTGCACAGCTGTGGATCATGCCGGCCTTCGGGGCGCGCCCTCACTTCAGCAACACGGTGGAAGTGGACTTCTACGGTTACTCGCTCTGGGCAGCCATCGTCAACATCTGCCTGCCTTTCGGCATCTTCTACCGCATGCACGCCGTCTCCAGCCTGCTGGAGGTTTACGTGCTGTCCTGAAGCCCTTCCGGAGCCTCACCGGCTCCTGGGCCCACTCGGAGCCGCTCCAGGAGAGAACCCCAGGCTGGCAGTCCCGGAACCACAGCGCCACCCAGCCCCTACTGGCCTCGCAGTGGAATTTGCACCAAAGTTATTTTTTTTTCCAGGATGAGTTTTTAAATCACAATCAAGACTTGTCCAGACGCCCCAGCATGGTGAGGTGACTCCTGCAGGAGAGGCGAGGGCTGGGGGTGCCGGCTGGGGCTCTATCCCTCATCTGCCCTGTGACCTGGGCAGTGCACTGTGCCTGGAGCTGGGCACCAATAAACCTGCGATTCGCCCCCTGACCCCCACGTCTCGTCTTCTGAGATGCCCACAGAAGAGGATCTTGGGGGTCAGAGCCGGAAGTACCCCCTGGAGATTTTCAGTGGTTGAGCCAAGTTCAAATTGTAGGCCAGAAAAAAAAGTGGGTAACTCGGAGGCTGGACGAGGCTGGGAGCTTCCAGGCCGCCACCTTCCCTTCCCCTTTATCTCCAGGTGACACACACGTGTACTCGTAATTTATTCCATGACATGAGAGAGGTGGGCGGGGCCGGCCTAGTTCATTGTCCACATTTCACAAAGAAGGATGCAGAAGCCGGGGAGAGGCAGTGGCCTGGGAGAGGTCACACAGCTACAGAGAGCCGGAGCCTTGCTTCCCGGGCGGCTGATGCCTTCCCCCTTCAAGTTACGGGTTGCAGGAACCCACGCCCAGGGCACAGACACGCAGGGGGCAGCTCGAGCTGGACAGGACGTGGGAGACTCAGACCTCCCGCGCCTGGACCTCCCCCAGGGCCCACAGGTGCAGGGAAGTGCTCATGAGGGCCGGCCCGAGAAGGTTGCAGGGCGGGAAAGCAGGCAATCGGGACGAGGAGGAGCCGGTGGCAGCCAGAGTCCTGGCAGGGGAGGTGCTTGGCCCCTGGGGTGGGAGCAGATGGCACTCAGGACAGCTGGTAGCAGTCGCACGGTGAGCAAAGGAAATCCTGCCTGGACCTTGTCCTCAGATGGGCTGGGCGGGTCTCCAGGCCCCGGGGGGCTGCCTCCTGCCTTATCAGAGTGGGCGCTGGCCCCGTCTCTTCCTCCCCAAAGTCCACCTTTGCTCTAAGAGACAGCAAGGGGTCCCTTGAGGCTGCGGGCTGCTAGGCAGGGGACAGGAAGAGGCGGCCCAGACCAGGCGCTCAGGGCGTCCATCCCCAGCCTCGCCTCCAGGGGACAGTGTGACCTGGACCTAGCAGGCTCTGTACTGAGGGCCGACGACATCGCACCCCGAGGGCCAGGGCGAAGCTGGGCCGGCGGAGCGCAGGGCCCGGCTGCCCGCCCCGTGGCCCGTGTATGCCCCGCCTCCGGCCCCGCCCACCCGCCCGGCGACCTCGCCATTGGCCGTCCCGGGCCCGAGCCCCTGGCACAGTAATTAACGAGGGATTAATAAGATTCCCAAAGTCAACAGAAAAATCGATGGGCAGGGGAGCCCGAGCGGAGGCTGTGCAGTCGCACGGGGCCGTCGGTCGGTCCGGGCGCCCGAGCCTCCCCTGGACGCACGGTAGGCGCTGCGCCCGCAGCCTGGGGCAAGCCGGTGGCGATGACTGTCCAGGCCTCAGGTAAGGTCCCTGGCGCCGAGCTGGGGCGCCCGCGGACTGCTGGCTCTGCCCTTCTGGGGAGCCCACCCCCGCTACTTAGACTCGGCCCCCAGCTCGGGTCGGGAGCCAGAGTGACCCGGGCAGAGGGCCGGCTCCTTTCGACGCTGGGCACGGGCCCTGTGCGCCCCTCACCCCAACCGGGCTCCTCACCCGCATCTCCCTACCGCCCGCAGAGGTCAGCAGGGCGCGCCCCGTCCCGGCCGGCTCCACAAAGCCGAGAGGGAGCGCTGGGGCCAGGAAGGAGCCAAAGCCCCGACAGCTGCCTGAAGCCGCGTGGGGCTGGGGTGCGCTCCCCGCCCAGGCCCCCAGCCCCGCAGCTCCTCGGGTGCCTCGGCAGGAGATCCCGACCCGAGTCCGGGCTCAGCAGCCCACTGCGCCCTGACGGCTCCGCGGCAGCGCCTGCCTCTAGCCCGCAAACCAGTTTGGTGTCCCTGCCCTCCCTTGGCCCTGGCATCTCGCCGAGGGGCGTGCCGGGGGCCAGCAGACTCCTCTGTCAGTTCGGGGGGCCCTCACCCTCATTCTCTTCCCGTGACCCCGACATGCCCCCACCCCGCCGCATGGGAACCGAATTTGACAGCTCTGCTGGGGGCTGCCGCAAGGTTGGAGCCCAGGGTGGGGACGGGAATATTAAGGGTGAGAGGACTCTGGAAAGAGAGGACCAAGAACCGTGTACCTCTAGGCTGAACTCCCCAGGCCGGCAGGTGGAGCCAAAGGGGCCCCTGAAATTCCCCAGAAACCCTGACTCCACCAGTGTCTCCAGGCCCTCCAGAGAACTGGAAGAAAACGCGCGATTAGCTAACAGAGCTTCCCGTGTGCCGGGTGGCACTCTAAGCGTCTAGCGTGTATTAAATCATTTAGTCTGACAAACAGGTACTATGCATTCATTCCATCTTCTATTCATTCAAGAAATTAATAGTAGTGCCCTGTTACAGAACAGGGGCTCCTGTTCTACAGCTGCAGATCCATTTTACAGATGCAAACACTGAGGCACCTGGAGTCTAAGTAGCTTGTCCTGACCACAGAGGTAGAAAGCGGTGGGATCTGGGCTCTCAGCCACTCACTAGGGCAGGGGTGGGTTCTGGGAAAGGCAAGGTGGAGCCGCCAGGATTGGCAGAAGAGGAACCAGGAGGCGTCCCTGGGAGCCTTGGCCTTGCACAACCTGGGCGGGGGAGCCTGGGAGGAAAACAGGCGCTCCACCTGCCCCAGGGATGGAAAGGGTTAAGCAGGAAGGGTCTCTGTCCACAGCCCTGGTGCTGAAACTGCCCCTGCACTGGCCAGAGTGGCGGGCAGACCCTGGGTAAGTGTCACGTCCGTGGTAGCTTTGGTGGCCGTCAGAGTTAAGCAGGACCAGGTCCCTGCCCTGAAGGTGGTGCCGGCCTTGGCAAGCCAGCCACACCCACCACAAGCCAGACAGTGCACGCCCACTCTGGGCGGAGGGGAGAGGCCCAGGAAAGTGGCCACCAGCAGGCTGGGGCAGAGGGGGTAGAAAGGGTGGTGAAGGCTCTGGTGGAAGCTGGGGGTGAGGCAGAAGGAACAGCCGGTTCCAGGAGGGCTGGCAGGACCCGGGAGCCCACAGGAGGAATGAGGAGCCTGGGGTTAGGCCTGGGGGATGGGAGTGGGAGATGTGTGCCCGGAGCTGAACAGGAAGGGAGTAGAACTTGGGCAAGGATGCCAGGGCGGGCTGGGGGAGGGGAGGACACATTCAGTCTTGGGAAGAGACGTGGGTTGTGTTACTCCACCTGCCCCAGAGAACATGCAAGGTAGAACCACTGTGCAGGCGCACATGGGCAAGCGGGGGGCCTGCAGAGGCGGGATCTCAGGGTCCAGCGTGGCAGGGTCTTCCGGTGGCCACAGAGAGGGACAGTCTGAAGTCCCTGGAGCTGGAGGTCTAAATGGAGAGACAGCAAAGCACGCTGGCAACTGGCTGGGGTGCAGGGAGAGGACCCCTGGCTTGCTGCGGGGGCCGGGGGAGAACACTTAGAGGAAGTGTTCATCCTGAAAACAACTGGAGTTGGCCAAGAGACAGAGGGGTGGAGGGCGGGGCGTGGGCCGGGCTGGGCTGAGCTGAATTGGGATGGACACCCTATAGAGCGAGAGTGCGGCCTGAGCCTCGCGGGGGAGGGACATTGTCAATCAACCCCAGAACTTTTCCCCTAAATGTCAGTGTGCTTAAAAATTAAATATAATTACATAAGTAATATGTTAATTATTTTTTTAAAAAAACTACATCATTGAAGCTAACAGAAAGGGTACCGCTCCCAATCTCAGCACCTGCGGGGGCGGGGGGAATCCCTCCTGGGGACCTGCTGGGGACCAGCTGGGCACTTTAGAAGCAGCTCGCCACACGGATACACTGTAACAGATACACTGTCACAGAGTTGCTTCCACTCTCAGCATCCTCACCCCGGAGCTGGACTCAGCTTCCGGCTCCTTCCCCACACCTGTGTCCTCGCTGAGTCAGCAGGGTGCGAGCCGCCCGGGTGACAATTGCCTGCTGCTAGGCACTCTGCCCATGTGCCTGGCTCCCTTGAGACTGATGACCCGGCATAGGATCAGGCACTGCGTCAGGAACTGGGGTGACCCCACTGAAGGGGGGCCTCTAGCCAGAGGACATAATCTGTTATGTTTACGTGGAGAACAAAGGGTTTCAGTATCTCCCGTTCTCTGTGGCGCAGCTGCTGTGATTTCTAATGTCCCAACCAGAGAGGTTGGGACACTTGCCCTGGGCCACACAGCAGTTAGGAGCAGGAGTGGAATCGAACCCAGGTTAGCCTGGCAGCCAACCCAGCACCCTGTCTCCATCTCCAGTCCCTGCTGCGGAAGCTCTGCCCATGCCCCTTCCCGAAGCTCGGGAGCCTGGAGTGGACACGCGGGTTGAGCAGCCGGAGGCCCCAGACTCCACTCGGCAGAAGTCCTGGCTGGCGCTGTATCTGTCACTGCTACTGCGGCGGGACCGGCTGGCCCAGAAAGCCGGACAGCTCTTCTCGGGGCTCCTGGCCCTCAACGTGCTGTTCCTGGGCGGGGCCTTCATCTGCAGCATGATCTTCAACAGTGTGGCCGTCACGCTGGGTGACGTGTGGATCCTGCTGGCAGCCCTCAAGGCCCTCTCCCTGCTCTGGCTACTCTATTACACAGTGGGCACCACCCGCCGGCCTCACGCCGTGCTCTACCGGGACCCTCATGCTGGCCCCATCTGGGTACGGGGTGAGTGTTGGGGGCTGGGGGGATGGAGAAGGGCTGGGGAGGAGGAGACGGGGCCGGGGAGGTGCCAATGCCCGCCTGGCCCCGCCAGGCTCCCTGGTGCTGTTCGGCAGCTGTACCGTCTGCCTCAACGTCTTCCAAGTGGGCTACTACGTGAGCCACAGCCACTGCAAATCACAGCTGGAGGTCATCTTCCCCGTGATCGAGATCGTCTTCATGGGCATGCAGGTGACGGCCTCCCCATGCCCCTGCCACCCACGCCGCGAGCACGCCCCACCCCAGCCCCCGGAGACCGCAGCGGGAGGGAATCCACACTGCCCAGGGTATAGACGTGCCCCGGTGTCTATGCAAATGTCCCGTTCCTCGTGCCCACACCCACATGGCCCCCCAGTGCTGGCAGCCACGCTCCCGTGTGTCTCTGCGTAAGACGTAAGAATAGCTACCATTACCACGAGAGCCTTCAAAACAGTCACAAACAGTGTCATGAACAGTGCATATCACGAGGATACGATGCGTGGATTCTAAACGTCTCTGGCATCAACAAAGCAGCGGGCACTCGGATCCTGTCCAGAGCCCAGATGCCTCGCTGCAGGCTGCTCACGGCACAGCCGGGAGGTGTGAGGGCCGAGGCTCCCACGCTGCCTCCTGCGCTGGCCTCCCATCGTAAACGCTCGCGGGCAGCCGGGCACGCATCCACTCCCACCCGAGCCCCAACCCCAGGGCTTAAGGCGCCGTCTCTTTCAGACCTGGGTGCTCTGGAAACATTGCAAGGACTGTGTTCAGGTGCAGACCAACTTCACCAGGTAAGACGGCCCCCTCTGAGCCCCTCTGGGCCCTCCCAGGGCTCTCTGTCTCCCGTCCCTGGACACGGAGGTTTGGGATGGGTCCCCCAGAGACCCCAGGGCTGCCTCTCCTGGATCAGCCTCGGCCCTGGGAGTGGCCGCCCCCACAGCCGTCCACGGCGCCGACCGAGCAGCCGCAGAGCTGCGCCAGGTGTGTGAGCGGGTGTGGCCCTTCCCGCAGGTGTGGCCTGATGCTGACCCTGGCCACCAACCTGCTGCTGTGGATTCTGGCTGTGACCAACGACTCCATGCACCGCGAGATTGAGGCCGAGCTCAACGCCCTCATGGAAGAACACACAGGTACAGACGGGAGAGCAGACCTCCTCCCGAACACACCCTCACACACACACACACACACACACACATACACACACAGGTATACAGTCACCCACATAGACACACACTCACACACACTCACACACACTCATACACACACACACAAGTATACACAGTCACCCACATAGACACACTCACACACACATACATACACACACACATAGACACACACATACACACACACCAGTATACACAGTCACACATAGACACACACTCACACACACTCACACTCATACACACACACGCAAGTATACACAGTCACCCACATAGACACACACTCACACACACACATAGACACACACACAGAGGTATACACAGTCACCCACATAGACACACACTCACACTCATACACACACACACAAGCATACACAGTCACCCACATAGACACACACATACACACACACATACACACACACATACATACACACAGGTATACACAGTCACCCACATAGACACACACTCACACACATACATAGACACACACACAAGTATACACAGTCACACACAGACACACACTCACACACTCACACTCATACACACACAAATATACACAGTCACACACATAGACACACACTCACACACACTCATACACATACATACACACACATACACACACACATACATACACACACAAGTATACACACACGTATGTACACACCCTCATACGCATACATAGACACACATATACACAGTCACATACATACACACACTCATACACATATCTGCACACATACATAGAGACACACACGTCCATACACATACATATGCACAATCACACACATGTATACATACATACATATGCACATTCACATACACACATATACACACACACACATAGACACACACATACATACATACGCACTCTCATACACATTCACATACACACATACATACATACACACATATACACACCCACACACATACATATGCACACTCACATACACACACATACACACTCACACACACAACGACACTCCCTCAGACAGATGAGGCTCGGGGAGTCACAGAGTTGAGAGCAAACTCTGAGCCGGATTCTGGTTAAGAACTTGCAGTCAGTGGAGGCCCCCGTCCCGGGCCACCAGGCGCAGGCGCGCTGCACTAGTCCTGGCCCAGCCAGCCCCGATGAGCCGGGCAGGGACGCCCCTCGCCCGCGCTGTTTGCATTTTCCTTGCAAGAAGCTGAGAAACCTTCGGGGCTCACAGGAGTTTTCCCAGTGGGAGTTTCAGTGCCTAGACTGAGGGGTCCAGGCTTCTGGTGAGAACGGGCTCCCCACATTGCCTATGCCCAGCACCCCCCACACACACACAGCCCATAGGCGCAATGGGAATCCCGCTGCCCACACCCCTGCCCTGCCCTGCCCCCGGGGGTGGCGCCGACCTGACCTGCGTGCAGCCAGAGCCTCCCGGCACAGTCACGCACTCTCACACCCACGGCATAAATCACAGCCAGCGGCCGCTCTAGCGTTCTTCATGCTCCGCCGACATTTCTCAGAAAAGCTGTGCAGAGAGAATTTTTGTCAAGTGACATCATGGATTTGTTTTTATTGGAGAGGAAGAGAAGGAGAGGAAGAGAGAGAGAGAGAGAGAGATCCTATTTATCCGCTGGTTCAAGCCAGGAGCTGGGAACGCAATCCCACGCGGGTAGCAGGAATCCAGCCACTTGAGCCCCCACCCGCTGCCTCCCAGAGTTTGCACGAGCAGGAAGCTGCGGTCCGGAGCCAGAGCTGGGCATGGGCCCAGGCGCTGATGTAGATGTGGGCACCCTGACCGTGTGTTAACCACTAGGCTGGACACCCGCCCCATCACACAGAGGCTTAGAGAAACATGCAAAGTGCACAGCTGAAGAGCAGGAAATGCGCATGATCTAACTGTGATAGTTATTAACATTTGCCACATTTTTGTGTTATTTTTTTCTGAAGTACTTAAATTACGGAAATGAAGGCAATTCACATCAAAACATTTTGGTATGCGTCTCTTTAAAAATAAGCCCATTGGGGCGGATATGGTGGTGCGGTGAGTTAAGCCGCCACTCGGAACTTCCACAACCCACAGCAGACAGAGTGCCTGGGTCAAGTCCTGGATCCGCTGAGCTTTGGACCCAGCTTCCTGCCGAGGCACCAGGGAGGCCGTGCTTGTTGGCTCAGCCTGGCCTACCCCTAGCTGCTTGGGAAGTGAACCAGCAGATGGGAGATCTCTCTCTCTCTCTCTCTGCCTGTGTCACTCTGCCTTTCAAATAAAAACAAATCATTTTCTTATGTTACCATGATGTTACCATAATTGCTAACACAATTCCTTAACACGACCCCGGCTTCTCTATCAGCCCATATCCCGCTCTGTCCAGCGTGCTGTAAAACAGCCATTCAGCCCGTTCAAACACGCTATGCATTCGGTGGATCTCATGTGTCTCTTCCTAACGACACTGCGACGTGTCAGTTGTCTCTCAGCAGTGGTTTCTGTCCCCCACGCCCCCCCGTCCCCAGGAATTGGAAGTGTTGGGTCCAGGTTAGATTTGTGGCACTGGCACTTCCCAGGTGACACTGTGTGCTCTGAAGGCACCTGGTCGGAGGCGCTGCCATCCAATTGCTCCTACAGCTGCAGGTGCAGCAGCCACGTGCCCCTCCGTCGTAACCCAGCTCTGCCCTGGTGCCAGCGGGCAGTTTGTGGAGGTGACATTTGGCACAAGGACGTCATGTATAAGGGCCTTATGTAAGCTGGGCACCCCAATTTTTTTGAAGACTTATTTATTTGAAAGGCAGAGTTGAGGGAGAGATTGATCTCCCATCCATTGGTTCACTCCCCAAATGGCCATAACAGCTAGGACTGGGCCAGGCCAAAGCAAGGAGCCAGGAGCTCCATCCGGGTCTCCCACGTGGGTGCAGGGGCCCAGGCACTTCGGCCGTCCTCCACTGCTCTCCCAGGCCATTAGCAGGGAGCTGGACAGGAAGTGGAGCAGCCGGGATTGAATGGGCGCTCAGCATTGCAGGCAGCAGCTTCACCCACTGAGCCACATCACCGGGCCCCCACGGCTGAATGTTTGAGTCTCCGTAGAGGGATGATTTGTGTGATTCCCAGTCTCTATGGTTGGGCCTCGGTTTCCACAGCTGTAAAACGAGCAGCTGGCTGGGTCCTGCAGAGCAGGGCCCACCTGAGTGTCCGTCCCCTCCCCCCACCCCGCCCTGCCCCTCCCAGGCAACCAGACGAGCGTCTGTCTCTGTGTGAACGCCACGGTGTGCGAGGTCTTCCGGAAGGGCTACCTGATGCTGTACCCCTTCGGCACCGAGTGCTGCCTCATCTGCTGCGCCGTGCTCTACGTCATGTGGAAGAACGTAGGCCGCCGCCTGGCGCCCCACCCCGGCGCCCACCCCGGCTCCCCGTCCTTCCGCCTGCACGGGGCCATCTTCGGGCCGCTGCTGGGCCTGCTGGCCCTGGTGGCGGGAGTAAGCATCTTCGTGGTCTTCCAGATCGAGGCCAGCGGCCCCGCCATGGCCCGCCAATACTTCACCCTCTATTACGCCTACTACGCGGCCGTGCTGCCCGCCATGAGCCTGGCGTGCCTGGCGGGCACGGCCATCCACGGGCTGGAGCAGCGGGAGCTGGACACGCTCAAGAACCCCACGCGCAGCCTGGACGTGGTGCTGCTGATGGGCGCCGCGCTGGGCCAGATGGGCATCTCCTACTTCTCCATTGTGGCCATCGTGGCCACGGACCCCCACCAGCTGCTCAACCGGCTCATCCTGGCCTACTCGCTGCTGCTCATCCTGCAGCACATCGCCCAGAACCTCTTCATCATCGAGGGCCTGCACCGGCGCCCCATCTGGGAGGCGGCTCCCACGGGCCTGGCTGCGAAGCAGGGGGCAGAGCCCCCCCGGAGGGGCTCCCTGCTGTCGCTGAGCCAGGACCTGCACCGGGCCTCGCTGGCCTACATCCACTCCTACAGCCACCTCAACTGGAAGCGGCGGGCGCTCAAAGAGATCTCCCTCTTTCTCATCCTGTGCAATATCACGGTGAGTGACTGGGGGACGCGTGTGCACTGGTGCTGGCCGGGGGCCTCCAGACCGCCTCGCGCAGGAAGGGCTGGATCAAGGTCACGTGCGGCTTTCTAGAGAGCGGGATGCTGCCTGAGAACAGGGAGTGTCCCCCGCACCCCCACCCAGCTCCCTGCAGGCTGCCTGGCGCGACTGTGCCAAGCACAAAGCCGAGGGGCCCCTTCCAGGCAAACCTAAACCAGGGAACCGGTTAGAGAAGGACCACTGAGTTTATCCTCAATGGAATTCAGCTAAAGGAAGAGACAGCAGGAATCCCTCGTGGAAGATGCTGGCAATGACGGAGGCTGCTAGGACCCGGGACCACCTCTCCAGGTGGCATTGCCACCCCTGGAGCCATCAGAGGGACCCAGGGCAGTGGGCACTGTCGCTGTCACTATTTGATAGCTGAGGACCCTGGGCTGAGGCTTGGGCTGCGTGACCTGCACAACGTCCCCTAGCCTGTGAGTGGCATTGCCGGGACAACTGAGGGCTTGTCGGACCCCAAATCCCCAGCCCGCTGCAAACGCGGCTGACGGATGTAAGTGCCCCGGTCTAGCCAGAAAACAAGTCGCATTAGGAGCTCGGGGGAGGAAGTGTGGGCCCGAGGGGCCGAGGAAGGCTTCAGGGGCTTTGGTCTGGACCTTGAGGAAGGGTTAGACTTTGGACAGGGGCTAGGAGCTGGGGCGAGGAGGTTGCAATGCGCAGAGAGGGGCAGCCCAGTTTGCCAGCCCACTGTGCACACGGGGACTTCCTGCAGGCACTGTGTGGGGCAGCAGCCTGGGGTCTCAGGAGCCCATGCAGGTCAAGCTGGCTCCAGGCAAAGCCAGGAAGAGCCCTAGGTCTTCTGTGCTATGGGGCCAGGTGGGGGCGGCGCCAGAGGAAGCACAGGTCCTGGCCACCTAAGCTGAGGCCCTGGCTCGGTGGGGGGTGGGGGTGGGCTCCTCCCCCACTCACTCTCCGCCCCTCCCCACAGCTGTGGGTGATGCCGGCATTTGGTGTCCACCCCGAGTTCGAGAATGGGCTGGAAAAAGATTTCTATGGCTACCGGACCTGGTTCACCATCGTCAACTTGGGCCTGCCCCTGGGGGTCTTCTACCGGATGCACTCTGTGGGGGGGCTGGTGGAGGTCTACCTGGGAGCCTGAGGCAGCAGAACCCCGAGGTGTCAAGGCCGGTGTCAAGGCCGGCAGGGGCTCGGTGCTGGGGGAAGGCAGCACAGACGTTCCATTCCAACAGCTGCCGAGACCAGCCCCGGGCTCCAGCACCTCCTCCCACTCCCCCGAGGGGCGGGCACTGCCTACAGCCCAGTCTGGGGACTGGACGCAGGATCTGATGCCCACGTGCAGGCCTGGCCCCTGCCTTATCCACCAGGGGAACACCCCAGGAGGCTAGCAGCATCCCCGCCCCAGCTCCCCTCTTAGGGCACCAGGAGCAAATGCCTGAGACTGGGGAGTTTGGAGAGGGGCGCTTCTCCCTGCCAGCTGGACTCAGGGGTCAGCCTCTGGCAGGCAGCTCCTCCCAGCTCAGTTCAGCAGGCAGCCCTGCCCCCCCCCCCACACCTGTCTCCTAACGACCTCATTAATTAGCTGCCAGGCAGGGTTCAACAGCTCTCCCCTGCTGCCATAAACCCTGTTTGTTTGATCAATTACATTCAGGCTTCCTGTTTGTTCCCAGGGACAGAACTGCCACTCTGAGCCTGGTGGGAAGGAGAAGTCCCCCTGGGCAGGGCTGTGGGGCTGGGACAGCCGTGGTCCTCGGCCAGGAGGGGTCTACCCCAGCCCTGTCCTTGCCCAGTGCATGGGAGGAAGTGGGAGAGATGGGGCTTGGCTGTCCCCCACCCGACCCACGCTGGCCCCCTCTCCCTAGGACAGAGCCCCATGAACATCTGCAGCTGGCTCCCTATGGGGCCTGGGGCCTCTGGCTGACCGGTCCCCAGCTGGCCTGATCCTTGGAGCTGGGGGGGGGGCAGGAAGGGGAGCGGGAGGCGACACAGTGACAGCCCATCCTTTTCCCTGAGCCCAGTGCAAACAGCCAGCTCTGGCCACCCTGGCCCTACAGGTGAGGGCCTGCCCGCCCCCGGGCCCTCGCCCAGGAAGCGAGGCACTGGCAGGCACAGGGACACTCCCCAGGGTCCCCCACACTGCTCGGTGGCTGCCCCAGACAGCAGAGACCCCGGGGGCCATGCAGGGGGCTGAGGCCCCTCAGTCTCTCCTGAGTGGGCCTTTCTCTAAGTGCCCACAGCCCAGAGGCCCAAACCCTAGGTGAGGAGCCCCACTGCTCTCCCACCCTAGAAAATGACCAGTGCTGGCCCGACCTTGCACTGGGTGCCCTGGGGGGCCTGGCTGTGGGGTGTTCTCCCCATGCAGCATGGAGACAGTGTGGAGAGGGAGGTTTATTGTTAAAGGGACCGATTGTACGGAGCAAAGATTGCACTGACACGGGGTGGAGGGGGCCCTTGAGGCCGGAGCCAGGGAGCGTGAGGGTGCCCGGCCCCCCAGCGAGCATGGAGCAGCCATGGCCCGACTGACAGCTGTTCCTGGACCCAGTTCCCTGGATAAGGAGCCAGGCTACACCCACGGACCCAGGAGGAAAACAGAGAGACCCTCCATGCCACCCCTCCAAGCCCCTCCATCACACGGAGTCCCCCGGTGTCCCCAGTGAGCAGCCCAGCCACACTCGGTTCTCCACCTGCTGGGTGCGGGCAGACAGCAGGCCTGGCACGGGCAGCTTCAGACTGGGAAGTGCCCCTCACCTGCCTGGGTCCCGTCATGCGAGCCCCACTAGGGCACAGTGGCTTCTGGAGTGGGCAGCACAGGGGCACAGACATAGGTCTTGAGAGGGGACCCTTGGGTGGGTCCTATAGCCCTGGAGACGGGAGTCCTGGGAGTCGATGTGGGGAAGGGGCCGGAGCCGGTCGCCACAGTCCCCAGCCCCCAGGGCGCCTCGAGGCCGATTCAGCCCCTCTGCCCGCAGCCGTCCTGATGGTGGCCATCCAAACCCCAGAACGGCACTCTTGGGGAGCATCGGGGACCAGGGCACCCACCCCGGCCACCCCCGGCCCAGCCCCTGCAGACTCTGTCCTCACACCCGCTGGATCTCAAACAGCTTCACGTCGGTGTCATACCAGACTGGGGGGTCCACGTTCCTGCGGAGGGCGTGGGTGTCACCAGGTGCCGGGGCAGGGGGAGGAGCCAGCCGACCGCAAAGCCCCCCCTCGCCGGCCCAGACCTCGCTGATCATCTCAACAGGAATCCCAGGGCCCCAGCCAGCTGGACGGGGCAAGCCCCTCGGGTAGAGCCCAACCTCCCTCCCCCACCACTGCCACCGGGATGGCAGCCGGCCTGTGCTGCGGGGCCCACCTCAGGTAGATGACACCCCACATGTAGGTGCGGAACCACATGGCGGTGCCCGAGTTGGCCTGGTACTTGCGGATGAGGATGGGGTGGGGCACGGGCAGCAGCCCCACCAGGGTGCCGTGTTGCAGGAACCGCAGGATCTCCGATTCGTCCGTCAGGCCCCTGCAGGCGCGAGGCACACTCCAGCATGCTCACCGGGGGGCCGCGATCCCCTTCCACGGCCACCCCGCCCGCCGCGGCCCTGCGGCTCACTTGTCTATGCAGATCTTCTCCACCTGGGGCACCAGCACCTGCAGCAGCCTCATGATGGTCTGCAGCGGCAGCTTGGACTTCCAGGACAGCACCTGTGGGGGCCGAGGCTGCTGGGGCCGCGGGAGCCGTCCCCCGGGAACTCGGGACAGGCCACAGGCGCCCCGAGGCCGCACGCGTGTCCAGGCCCTGGAGCTGGGGGCCGGCGGCCAGCAGGCCCGTGCACAGTGACTGTTTGGAATGGGGGAGGCAGCAGCCCCCGCCTAGGCCCTTGTCCCCGTCCAGCCTCCCTCCAGCAGAGTCGGCCCAGGCAGTGCGCTGGGCGTGGGAGCCACTCGGCAGGCTGATGGGTGCAGGAAGCCAGCACCGTGGGCCCCTGGGACTTAGTGCAGCCGGGGATCCCTGGCACACAGTGGGGAGGTAACGTGTGCGGCCCCAGGCCCTCTGACTTGGACACATTCCCACCCCCCTGACCCAGCCCCGCCTCCATGCCGTCTGCCCAGTCCCCGACCCCCGGCTCCTCCAGGGTGGGGTCCTCACCCACTCTGGCGTCGGGCTCCACTGATCACTGGCTGACACGCTAGACGGTCGCCGCTGCTCCCTCAGGCCTGGCCGGGCTCCTGGAACCCAGAGAGGAGAGGAGGGGAAGGGGGTCAGGGTGGGGGTGGGTGGCGTGGGCTCTCCACTGACCTCCACTGCAGGGGTGAGGGGGCAAGGGCCCAGCCCAGCACACTTTGCCCCAGGCTCTGGGTCCAGCCCAGCCCCAGCCCAGCGGGGTGACAGGTTTAGGGCCAGGGCTGACAGGGCAGCCGGGTAAAGGCCGGCGCCAGATAAGGCTAATGATGGATGGAGAGGCTGAAGGCCAAGGTCTTGCCACGCTGATAACAAGGGAGGCGCCCGTGAGGGCCCCTCTGGGACAGCGGTCAGTGCGGCTGGGTGCCCTGGCCCAGCCCACGCCGCAGGGGCCAAGGAGGAAGGGGCTGCCCCGGGTGTCCCCGTCACCCACCCCCTCGCCGGGGCTGCCATCCACGGCGCTGGGCTGGGGCTCAGGCTCCAGGGACCGCAGTGTGCCATCCTCTGACACCTGCGACTTCTCCGTCAGCTTGTCGATGCCTGGGGTGGGGGGAGGGGCACAGGCTGAGTGAGGACCCCCACCGCCTGCCCCTCTGACCTGGCTCCTTCCGCCATCTCCCAGAAGTGTCCCCACCTCTCCCAAGCCCTTCCCAGTCAGTCCCTCCTTCCCTCCCCTCCCCTCTTCCCAGCCAGGCTGCGCCCTTTGCCAGGGATGGGGGCTGCGCGGGCCCATGCCCGGCCCCCAGCCGTGCCACAGCCTACAGCTCCCTTCCCGCCCGCCAGAGCCCGACCTGGGGTGGCCACCAGGCTGGCCTTGAGAGTGCCTGGCTCCGCGGGGGCCGCGGGCCGGGAGCCCTCCATGGAGGCGCCCTCCTGCGAGCCGGCGCGGGACAAGGGCTCGGGCGGGCGCCGGCGCCGCTGCAGGGCCTTGTGGATGGCGGGCAGGTCGGTGGGCAGGTTGGCCAGCTGGTGGAAGACGCTGCGCTTGCGGATGATGGCGTAGACCAGGTTGGAGTTGCCTGCGGGGGAGCACGCCTGGCCTCAGAGGGCCTGCACCCTCACACGTGTGCACACACCTGCACACACGTGTGCACTCACACACAATCTGGGCAGGCTTCCTGGAGGTCAGGAGTAGGAGCTGGGACAGGGAACCCAAGAGCGTGGGCCAGGGCAGGCTGGCGGCGCTGTGTGTGCCAGCTGTGGCTATGGGACACCCTCCGGCTGGAGTTCCCCACACACCCCTCCCAGTTGCTAGGAGACCCTCACAACCCAGCTCCCCAGAGAGAACACCTGGCAAAGTGGGGCTGACCCGACCTCACTGTCCACACACAGCCAAGGAGGAGGCCAGCTTGTGTCTGTCCCCTGTTCCCCCCACCGGGCTCCACAGCTCCAGAGGAAGACACAAAGCACTTCCGGGGCCTCCCATGCCCCCAGCACCTCTCTGGTCCTGCCTCAGACCACACTGTTCCGCTTTCAGCTCAACACCCCACCCCAGGGCCTTTGCACACGCCATCCCTCACCTCTATAATGCTACCCCATCCCTCGGATCAGGGCAAATTTTTATTTTACTTCGGAACTTGCTAAGCATTAAGATACCAGGTACTGTGCTAAATGTTCCCTGGATATCTGGGTTCGGCCTCTTAACTCCCTCTGAGGTTGAGACTTTCAGTCGCACGGTCATGGCCGCCCTAGAGATGAGGAAGGAAGCTGGCTGCAGAGAGGTTAAGCGATGCGCCCACGGCACAGAGGAAATGAGCAGCAAGACCCGGCTCTGCCCCCAGCACTGGGGCGTCTGTGACACCGCGCACAGCCGCTGCTGTGACTCCCAGCAGGCTCTGTCCGCCCCGCAGTCCCTGCTCATCGGGGTCAGGGCGACCGGCTTGAACGCCTCCCCCTCCCTGAGGTCCAGGTGCAGGAACCATTTGTTCCTGCTGTATTCCCTGCATCCAGGTATACTACAGGTGCTCAATAAATGCACACTGAATGAACGAACTAGGAGGCAGATGGCTCAGAGGCCAGGTCCGGTCGGCGCCCTGCTCAGGTGGGAGCCCCCTGGTCCACACCCGAGGCAGGGCAGGGTGCGCCGCGCTCAGGTGGGAGCCCCTGGTCCACACCCAAGGCCAGGTCTGGTGGGTATCCTGCTCAGGTGGGAGCCCCCGGTCCACACCCGAGGCAGGGCAGGGTGCGCCCCGCTCAGGTGGGAGCCCCCGGTCCACACCCGAGGTAGGGCAGGGTCCACACCCGGGGCAGGGCAGGGTCCACACCCGAGGCAGGGCAGGGTGCACCCCCGAGGCAGGGCAGGGTCCACACCCGAGGCAGGGCAGGGTGCACACCCGAGGCAGGGCAGGGTCTACACCCGGGGCAGGGCAGGGTCCACACCCGGGGCAGGTCCGGTGGGCATCCCGCTCACCATCAAACTGGTACTGGATGATGTTGTTGAAGACCTCCAGCAGGAAGAAGACCAGGTGGTGGTTCTGGGCGGCGGAAGAAAGAAGAAGGAACCAGGTGGTGGAGAAGGCCTCCAGCAGGGCAGCAGCTTGTTGGCAGTCACCATGGACAGGCTCTTGAGGTAGGGCGACACTGCAGGGGAGGGGCCGGCTCACGCCTGGGCCACCCCCGCCCCCCCAGCCAGCGCCTGCCTGCGGAGCCCTGCGGAGCCTGGAAGGCCAAGTGCACACGGAGCCCTCGGAGGCAGCTGCGCTGTGGACCAAGCCACGGCCTCTCCTCCCTCTCCCGGTCCCCCAGCCCAGGAGGGAAAAAGGACGATTTCCACTCCACAGATGGGAGCCGAGGCTCGGAAAGAGTCTAAACCTGGCCAAAGCTCCCGGGCACAAAGCGATGGGGGCGACACAAACTCAGGCCCTACAGGTTCTTCTAGAAGGTTCCCTGTCATTGGATGCGTTTATGTCTTCAGGGCGTTGTCTGTAGTGGTGTGTGTCTGTGCACACACGTGGCTTTCTGCACAGCTTGTGGGGTGCGGAGAGATGAAATGGCACACAGCTGTGCGCCTTCCCCACGTTCTCAGAGCCGGGAACACCGAGCAGGTGCCAGTTGAGATGAAGAGAGGAAGCCAGTGAGTGAACAGGGCAGACGGGCAGCGTCCCACCAGACACAGACAAGCCGGCAGCGTGGAAGCCAGGAGCCGTCTCCCTGGTCGGGTTATATCGACCACCGGTTCAGACGACAGGATAGGAGGGTAAACTGGACCGTGTTTGTCACCTTCCCATCATGATCATTTTTAACCCGGCCACTGTGGCGTGCGCCAAGGGACCTCGAAAAACGTGGAAAAATGTGATCAAGACAACATTTGGTGGTGGTGCAGGAATTGAAACCTGTGCGTAGCTTTTTCGTAATATGCGTTTCCCATGGACTTTTGGTTTTTTTGCAGGCAGAGTGGACAGTGAGAGAGAGAGGAGAAAGAGAGAAAGGTCTTCCTTTGCCGTTGGTTCACCCCCAATAGCCACTGTGGCTGGCGCGCCGCGCAGATCTGAAGCCAGGAGCCAGGTGCTTCTCTGGTCTCCAGGGGTGCAGGGCCAAGCACTTGGGCCATCCTCCACTGCCCTCTCAGGCCACAGCAGAGAGCTGGACTGGAAGAGGAGCAACCGGGACAGAATCCGGTTGCCCCGACCGGGACTAGAACCCGGTGGGTACAGGATAGAAACCGGCGGTGCCGGCGCCACAGGCGGAGATTAGCCCAGTGAGCCGCGGCGCCGGCCTCCCATGGACTTTTTATGTGGGGAGCAACGGACTAGACTAAGTTACTCGAATTAGGACTTATTCTATGCATCTGCTCTCCCACAATATGGCGCTGGGAGAGAAGTAAACAGCTTCCGCACAGCTGCCTCCAGTTCAACCAATAAACTGTAGGACTTGCTCCTGATTGGAGAGCAGCGTACTCGGCGTGTGGGCAGCCGAGTTAGGATTGGCGGAGGAGGACTATAAAGGAGGAGAGCGACGGCATGCACAGGGAACATCTATGGGGAACATCTAGCTGAAGGAACACCCGTGGCCCCCGAGAGACCCGGCCGGCGGTGTGCCGCTCCCTGCGGAAGTGGGGAATGCGGCCAGGGGGAACTGCCCTTCCACGGAGGTGGAAGGGATAGTAGCCAACCGGGGAAGAACCAGCAGCAAACCCGGGGAGGCCGAGCAGACAAAAGAACAGCGCAGGGTCCTGGTCGTTCCTCCACGAAGGGGGAGCGACATTTTAGATGGATTTTCCTTTTGTCTTGCACCATAATTGCTTATCTTTCAATTTCATTTGTTGAAGTCCCCGCCCCTCCTGTTTCCAGGACCTGGGCTTGAACCAGAGCCCGGGGCGGGCTGCCTGTAGCTGGCGCCCTCTGGTGGTGGGCAGGGGAAAGCCGGCGCCTTGGGGCCCCTACCGTTGACCACGATGGTGAGCAGGCAGTCGAAGAGGGGCTGCAGCCGCTGGTGGCCGCTGGTGATGATCTTGTGGAACACCTGTGCGGGGAGGGAGAGGGGCAGCCGTGGGGCCCCTGTGGCCCTCAGACAACCCCCACCGCCCGGGGCTGGCCCAGCGACTCCTCACCACGATGAGCAGGTCGGCGTGCGTGCCGTGAAGACGGGGATGTCCATGGGCACGCGCCCGAGTAGTAGGGCTTGTTCAGCCGCACCCGAAGTCCGCTCCCGCTCAGCAGCAGCAGGATGAAGACCCCGATGTGCATGAGGCCCACGCGAGCTGCGGCACAGGCGGGGTCACCGGGGGAGGACACGGGGGGGGGCCCCGCCGGTCAGAGCACCCCACCCCACGCCCCGCCTTACACTGGTCCGCCGGGCGTCGTTGAGGAAGTAGAGGAGGGGACCAGCACGTCCAGGACGTCGCTGCTCTTCAGTACGAAGAAGAGGAATTTCTGGGGGGTTGGGGGCGGAGTCAGGGAGGGCAGCTGCCCGCTCCACCACCCCACCCTGTCTGCATCACGGCTACCTGGGGCGGTCCCTCCCACGGCCCCGCCCCCAGCCCGGACCACCCGGGAGCCCCCCAAGCGCCCCCCTGTCCT